ACCCTTCACTCATTGGCGACTGGTACCTGCTAGGGACGTACCTTTAGCGTTCTCTTACATGCCCACCCTTCACTCATTGGCGGACTTCCGCATGCCTGTCGTCACTCACGCCCGCCTTTTCTCTGTATAAACGGCGTGTCGGCCAGAAGTGCTCTCAGTCAGGCTTTGGAACTCGGCGCATACACTAGACGCTCCGCATTATAAGGCGTCCTGTCCATTTTGGAGAAAATTTAAGACTTTTAATGGCGCCTTATAGTCGTGAAAATACGGTACTCTTTGTCTGTCTCCTGCCTTCTTCTGTTCGACTCGAGAGGCGTTCAAGACCGCCTCCGAAAAAATAAACTAACGATTACTTCAATGAAACTACAAAAATTGAAAATAATCCATCAAAAATGAAAAGCAAGCGAGGATATCACAAAATAAATTCTATAGCCCCCCCCTACAGAATTTGTCTTGTGATTTCATCATTTTTGAATACCCAACAAAGGAATAAATAACTACTACTGACATCTGATCGTAGTAGTCATGGAGCTATGACCAAGGAAATGCCAATGCGTTTTTCGGAGGCGGTCATGAACGCCTCTTGAGTTGACCGGAAGAAAAGAAGGCACAAAGACTCACCTATATTTGTTGAAAAAAGGAGAGCTGTGTTTTGTTTTGTTTTTTAAACGCAGACTTTATTAATGGTTTTCACAGTCTCAACAAATACAGGTACTGTTCGTCTTTGTCCGTCTCCGTGACTTCTTCCGTTCCACTCGAGAGGTGTTCATGGCCGCCTCCGAAAAACGTAAATTAATGAGTACTTCAATGAAACCACAAAGAAAATCAAGCGAGGAAATCACAAAATAAATTCTATAGGGGGGATATTGAATTTATTTTGTGATTTCTTCGCTTGATTTTCTGTTTTGATGCATTATTTTCAACTTTCGTAGCTTCATTTAAGTACAGTAATTGTTAAAATACGTTTTTCAGAGGCGGTCATGAACGCCGCTCAAGTTGAATGGACACCTCTCGAGTTGAATAGAAGGAGCGTAGCACCATCTAGTGGCGGCATTGTATATTGCGCCTTATAATATGAAGCGTCTAATGTATGAAAAATTTTTTACAAAATAGCCATTCATTGAAGGTGCGCTTCATAATGCAGTGCGTCTTTTAGTGCGGAAAATACGGTAATATATCCTTATTTTAAGTTTTATACCTGAAACAGCCACAGTCAATCCTGATCAAGCTTATTGTCCAGAATACACTGAAAACAATAATAAATGTAATTAGGGCAGTGGTTCTCGATTAATTTCTGTCATGCCCCCCGCCCAGAAGAAGAAAACATCTCGCGCCCCCCCTCGTGACTATAAATACCTCAATCATTTGTCTATAAAATTGTTATAAGTACACCTCTGCATAACACTGTATCCTTATTAACGTATAAGAGAATAAAAAGAAATATGGACCAAATTTATGGATCAACTTACACTTTTTTGACGGACCATGCCAAACCATACGATACTGAATAATACAATTACCGGTAGATAAAATCAATAAATAACAATGCATTCAAACTGATCACCAACATTAACTCAGGAGCACAATCTTAAAAAACCTTTCACGTGCAAAGCAAAAATATATAAAATAATTTGTGCAGATTTTTTTTTTTTTTTCAATCAAAGATGATGTCTGGATTAATGGCTACAAATAGCAGTCACAAAACGGGATGATTGTTGGCAATATTCGGCACGTTTTCTCAGAAAAAAAACTCTTTTTACCAACTAGATTGGGGTGTAATGTCTTTAAGTGACGCCTTAATTCATTTGGCTTCATGCTGTCCGTTATCTTTCCTCCCACCGTAGTCACAGTGCAGCCAAGCGCGACATACGCTTCGTCATATTTACTCATCTTCGCTATCGGAAGACCTCTTTTCTCCGTCTCTCTCTCTCCGCCTGTCGACTTCGTGGCTACGCTTCATACTCATACTGTGTGCCGTGTGCAAAGCGCGCATGCTCAGTGCGAACAAAGCACCGAGCGAATGCTCCCTGCGCACTCTGCCAAGGTGAGAGCCACTGCCCCCTAATGTAGTCGAGGTGCAATTGCACTTTATTCTAGGACAGTAAAAACAAATCAAAATAAAAATGCATGTTCCCCGAGGCCAAACATGCCCCCCCCACTATTTGAGAACCACTGAATTTGGGCAACAGGGTTACTTCATCTAACTATACTTTGGAAAATGTGCTATTTCTACGTACTTTGGGTGTTACATGACTCTCTCTATCTCCATAGCCTCAGTAATGTACACAAATAGTATGAGTGTGGTATGGACAGCGCGGATCCAAATCTTCTTCACCCTCTGCAAGCTGGTGGCCATCAGCGCCATCGCCATTCCTGGACTATACCAGTTCTTCAAAGGTAGGACAAGTTTCATCTCATCCCAACAGCGACTCCAACTAACATCTCATCTTGGAATAATTGTGTATGTTACTCGGGGACTAGATTCACAGAAAGTAATGACATTCTGAAAGTACTGATAAAATTCAGAATTTAACATTAAAAAATAAATAAATAAAAATTATTTTCTTGAGGAAAAACAATCAACAAGTAGCAGGCTTCTTCAGGATCACAGGTGAGCTTAGAGCCTATCTGAGCTGAACCTGAAAATCAGAGGACTCATGTACAGCACTGCAGAAAAACAATCATGATCCAATCACATTCAAATCCACAGTGCATCTGGAGTATTCACAACGCTTCACTTCTTCCACATTTTTATATGTCCTGGCTTTATCCATTCATCCATCCATTTTGTACCGCTTATCCGGGGTCGGGTCGCAGGGGCAACAACTTTAGCAGGGAAGCCCAGATTTCCCTCTCCCCAGCCACTTGTTCCAGCTCTCCCGGGGATCCCTAGGTGTTCCCAGGCCAACTGGGAGACATAGTCTCTCCGGCGTGTCTTGGGTTGTCCCCGGGGCCTCCTGCCGGTGGGATATGCCCGGAACACCTCACAACGGAGGCATTCAGGAGGCATCCTAATCAGACGCCTGAGCCACGTCATCTGGCTCCTCTCGATGTGGAGGAGAAGCGGCTCGACTCTGAGCTCCTCCCGGATAGCCGAGCTTCTCACCTTATCTCTAAGGGAGAGCCCAGACACCCTGCGGAGAAAAATGATTTAGTCCGCTTGTATCTGGGATGTAGTTATTTCGGTCACGACCCATAGCTCGTGATCATAGGTGAGAGTTAGAACGTAGATCAACCGGTAAATAGAGAGTTTCGCCTTTTGGCTTAGCTCCTTCTTCACCACGACAGACCAATACAAAGTCTGCATCACAGCAGACGTTGCGCCGATCTCTCACTCCCTCCTGCCCTCACTCGTGAACAAGACCCCAAGATACTTAAACTCCTCCACTTGGGGCAAGATCTCTTCCCGACCCTGAGAGGGCACTCCACCCTTTTTCGACTGAGGACCATTGTTTCAGATTTGCAAAAAGCAGAGATGCAATACTAAGGCCACAAAACTGGACTCCCTCAAGGCCTCAGTTGCACCTAGAAATTCTGTCCAAAAAGGTTATGAACAGAATCGGCAACAAAGGGCAGCCCTTGCGGAGTCCAACCCTCACTGGAAATGATTCCGACTTACTGCCGGCAATGCGAACCAAACTCTGACATCGGTGGAATAGGGACCAAACAGCCCGTATAAGGGAGTTCGGTACTCGATACTCCCGAAGCACCCCCCACAGAACTCCCTGAGGGACACAGTCGAACGCCTTCTCCAAGTCCACAAACCACATGTAGACTGGTTGGGCGAGTTCCCAGGTACCCGCGAGGACCCTGCTCAGGGTGTAGAGCTGGTCCACTGTTCCATGGCCAGGACGAAAACGACACTGCCCCTCCTTAATCTGGGGATCGACTTCCTGACGGACCCTCCTCTACAGCACCCCTGAATAGACCTTCCCAGGGAGGCTGAGGAATGTGAAAGAGGGACCACCACCCCGGTCTGCCAAACCAGATGCACCCTTCCCGATGACCATGTGATGTTGCAGAGGCATGTAATCAAGACAGCCCCACAACATCCAGAGCCTTGAGGAACTCCGGGCGGGTCTCATCCACACCCGGGGCTTTGCCACCAAGGAGCTTTTTAACTACATCGGTGACTTCAACCACAGAGATAGGAGAGCCCACCTCAGAGTCTTCAAACTCTGCTTCCTCAAAGGAAGGCGTGTTGGCGGAGGTGAGGAGGTCTTCGAAGTACTCACAACGTCCCGAGTCAAGATCAGCAGCACCCCATCCCCACTGTACACAGTGTTAATGGTGCACTGCTTCCCCCTCCTGAGATCTCGGATGGTGGACCAGAATTTCCTCGAAGCCATCTGGAAGTTGGCTTCCATGGCCTCACCAAACTTTTCCCACGCCCAAGTTTTTGCCTAGGTGACCGCTGAAGCTGCGTTCCATTTGGCCAGTCAATACCCACCCATCAGCTGCCTCTGGAGTCCCACAGGCCATAAAGGCCCGATAGGACTCCTTCAGCTTGATGGCATCCCTTTCTGCCGGTGTCCACCAGCGAGTACTGCCACGACAGGCAACGACCACCGTACAGTCATAACTTTGATTGGCTGCCTCAACAATAGAGGCGCGGGAACATGGTCCACTTGGACCCAATGTCCCCCGCTTCCCCCTGGACGTAGGAAAAGCTCCTTCTGACAGGGGGTTCTGCCAGATGCTCCACAAACCCTCACAATACGTTTGGGTCTGCCAGGTCGTACTGGTGTCTTCCCCCACCATTGGAGCCAACTGTGGTTATCAGTTGACAGCTCTGCCCCTCTCTTCACCCAAGTGTCCAAAACATAAGGCTGCAAATCCAATGATACAACCACAAAGTCAGTCATTGAACTGCAGCCAAGGGTGTCCTGGTGCCAAGTCCACATATGGACACCCTTATGTTTGAACATGGTGTTCGTTATGGACAATCCATGACAAGCACAGAAGCCCAATAACAAAACACCACTTAAGTTCAGATCCGGGGGGCATTCCTCCCAATCATGCCCTTCTAGGTCTCATTACCCACGTGAGTATTGAAGTCCCCCAGCAGAACGAGGGAGGCCCCAGGGGGAGCGCTCTCCAGCAAACCCTCCAACGACTCCAAAAAGCGTGGGTACACTGAGCTGCTGTTGGGTGCATATGCACAAACAACAGTCAGGACCCGTCCCCCCACTCTAAGGCGTAGGGAGGCTACCCTCTCGTCCACCGGTGTGTGGAAGCAAGTCCGACTATATCCAGTCGGAACTTCTGTGCTTCGCACACCAGCTCGGGCTCCTTCCCTGCAAAAGAGGTGACGTTTCACGTCCCTAGAGCTATCTTCTGAAGCCGAGGATCGGACCGCCAAGCTCTACGCTTTTGGCTGCCGCCCGGCTCACATTGCACCCTAGCCCTTTGGCCCCTCCCATTGGTGTTGAGCCAATGGGAAGGGGGACCCACGTTGCCTTTTCAGGCTGAGCCCGGCCAGGCCCCATGGGTATAGGCCCGGCCACCAGACACTCGCCAATGAGCCCCTCCTCCAGGCCTGGCTCCAGAGAGGGGCCCCGGTGACCCGCGTCTGGGCAAGGGAAAATCATTTGTTTATCTTATTCATCATAAGGGGTCTGTTGAGCCATACTTTGTCTGGTCCCTCACCTAGGACATGTTTGCCATGGGTGACCCTGTCAGGGGCATAAAGCCCCAGGCAACTTAGCTCCGAGGATCATTGGGACACACAAACACCTCCACCACGATAAGGTGACGGCTCATGGAGAGGATGTTCTGGCCTTATTTCAAGATTAAATTCATTGTTTTCGTCACAATTTTATATAGAGCAGCCTGTAAGGACAAGTGTTTTTATTTCTTATTATTATTATTATTATTATTATTCAAAACTATATCTATTAAAAAAAATACAAAATGTAAACTTAGAGATTACATGTACATACGTATTTGCAGCTTTTGCTTTTGCTGCCGAGAACTTCGGCACACAATTATCTGGTGGCATGGATCCTGCTCTCCTCTCAACTATATTAAAAATGTTTCATGTCTTTTTCTGTGTGTGTGTTTCTGTGCACATAGGGGAGACAGACAACTTTGAGAATGCCTTTCAACTAAACAACATAAAGCTGTCAACTTTACCTCTGGCCTTCTACTCTGGGATGTATGCATACGCTGGATGGTAGGTATGAAGTGCTGGCTGATGGAGTTTTCACCAAGGGAGGCGGTATAAAAAAGAATATAAAAAAGACTTTTTGTATACTTATATTTCAATTCTATAATCGATAATGGGATATACAGTGTAGATATAGACATCCACTCACATTAAGAGACAGACAGTGAATGCTGCAATCGTGTGTTGGTGCTGGCCGTGGCAGGAAGTCCCCAACGTCCGGTTGTGTGGGCATTGCCTCAAATTTGAGCAGATAAACTGTGCCGGGGCCTTGGCCATCCCACTGTTACCCGGGGGAGCAGCGCTTCTTTGGGGCCCCTCCTACCGTAATTATGCGCAGCCTTTATCACACTGGTTCTCTTTGGACTGCGTATTTAGCGATGTTTATGGTGTTTATATTTTTACATTGTCTAATCAATGTGACAGAAAAGTTGCACTTGTGTCATTCCTTTAAATCCAATCTATTTTCCACTGGACTGGTCAAATTAACCTGTATTTCTGGTAACTAAAATGGCAACCATGACCTATGACATCATCTGGGTCCGCAGTCCAGCTGTTGTGGGCAGAAGCTCCTCGGGTTCAAAGTCTGTCTGTGCTTATACGGGCGGCTGTGGAGTTTGAGGTGTGGCCCTCGTTTGTCTGCCATTGAAATATGTGGCCTGCACAGCCGTGCTTACCTTGTGTTGGTGTGATGAACTTTCTAATCCAACAGATTAAGTCCCGCGATCTCATTTGTTGAAGGCGTCCGTGTGTGTGTAAATTACCGTATTTATTTGTATAGGTTGTTTTTTCCGGGTGTTGTGTGGTGCCAAGACAAGTGAGCTAGCGTTATCCTCAGAACTGTCCTTTGACCTTTTAGATTTGCTTTTAAAAGTTTAATTAAGAGCCATTTTAATGAGAGGGGATGCCTTTGTTGGAGGAAATAGCGCGGTGTGTGTTTGAGCAAGACATTTATTTATTTGTCACGGCATCTTGGTCGGTGCTGTCTGTTTCGGTTGGCAACAAAACAAGTTCTTATTGTGCTTGCTCTCTTTGCACAGGTTATTAGCTCAGGGTGTTGTTCTATGTCAGGCTTTAACGATGAGTTTGTTGTGCTCCCGACGTGATGCCAACCTGGCTATCACGATGGAACATCACACATTCACACTGTGAAGTTAATGATTGCACGGCCTTGATGCTGATGACTGTGATTTCCTATTTAAAAGCAGACACTGCCGACCTCAGCACTTAGTGTTCGCCACTAAAAGCAGCTAGCGCAGGAACATGAGACAAAGATGAACTTAAACCCGCACTTATATATATATATATATATAGATATAGATATCTATAGATATCTATAGATATATATAAAAAAATCCTCGTCTCACCCCTCGGGTGGTGTCCATCCCTCATTCAGCTTGGGTCCTCTACCAGAGGCCAGGAAGCTTGAGGGTTCTGCGCAGTATCCTTGCTGTTCCCAGCACAGCACATTTCTGGACTGAGATGTCCGATGTTGTTCCCGGGATCTGTTGCAACCACTCATCTAGTTTGGGGGTCACTGCCCCGAGTGCTCCGACCACCACAGGCACGACTGTCACCTTTACCCTCCAGGCTCTCTCCAGTTCCTCTTTGAGCCCTTGGTATTTCTCGAGTTTCTCGTGTTCCTTCTTTCTGATGTTTCCATCACTCGGGACCGCTACATCCACGACAACGGCTTTCCTCTGCCTTTTATCTATGATAACGATATCTGGTTGGTTCGCCATTACCATCTTGTCAGTCTGGATCTGGAAAACCCACAGGATCTTCGCTCTGTCATTCTCCACCACTTCGGAGGTGTTTCCCATTTTGACCAGCCACCTGGTTATGGCGTTCCATGTAGGCTTTCCCTGCCAGCATCTTACACCTTGCAGTTATGTGTTGGATCATCTCAGGTGCCTCTTTGCACAACCTACACCTTGGGTCTTGTCTGGTGTGGTATATCTGGGCTTCAATGGCTCTGGTGCTCAGGGCCTGCTCCTGAGCAGCCAGGATGAGTGCCTCTGTGCTGTCCTTCAG